CCCCAAAACCCCAAAACCCCAAAACCCCAAAACCCCGGGGAATTATGGTGTGATTGAAAATATTGAGTTATTAAGTCAGGTTTTGGGATTATGATGTTATTTGGATGATGAGATTGTTTAGGGTGTTCAGAATAGTTCATAGGTCTTGGAGAGTGAATTCGTTGAGGAGGGATTCAGCCATTTCGGGATTTATAATGATAATGCTATTTTCTTCACGCCAAATTCCTCTTAATCTAAAAATTTCAGCGATAATATATTTTATTTTGGAATCAGCTTTTAGTAAAGCCTTCTCTTCAGCAGAAATGTTTTTACTATTGTAATAATCTTTGACTACTTTGTATATTTTATTGGTCAAGCTCCTTGCAGTAGACATAGGCTCTCCTGATTTCCAGAAATTGTTAACAAGCATGTTCTTGATCACAGTATAACAAATACAAGAGTACAGCTTAGAGTTACCTTTTAAATTATGATCCTTCAGTGAAAATTTTACTTTTGGAGGCTTTAGCTTATCCATGACTGAGCTCAGCTTTTCAAAATCTAATGTCACAGTGTTGCTTTTATTGATTTGCTCTAATGACTCTTTGAAGCTAGTAGTGGCTCAGCTCTCAAGTAAGAAGCCAGAAGTTACTTTCTCTCTGATCAACAAGTCTTTAATATACATAAAATAAATGTCTTTCACTTTTTGACTTAGCTTTTTCTTATTAGTGTTTAAAAATTTATCCAAATGCTGAAAGATAAGGCTCCCCAAGGCATTGATGTACTTTATGGTCTCGCTCTCAGACTTTTCATCAAAGCACTTAGGAACTTCCTTCAAAAGTTGAATTAGGAAATGTTTGTGAACAGGATCATTCTCAAATTTCTGGGTAATTTTTGTCATCTCTGAGATTTCTTCTTCTAGAACCTCAGATTCAGTTAGTTCTAATGATACTGATTTCTCGCTAAAGTCGTCATGATGTAATATGTCTTGTTTAGATTCTTCATTAGTCGCATCTTGTATATCTTTGAGGTCTGTACATAAATCATCTTTTGAGCTAGTCGTTATTGAGCTGATGATATGCTCTTTGGTTACAAGTTCTCTTTGTTTAATACCCTTGATATCTATACTGTCCATAATGCCCTGATTTCTTTGAGAAGAGCATCTCTGCTCAGCTCCTTCTTTTTCATATAGCTCCAAGTCTTTAGGGAGGCTAGATAGCTTTCTCTGTGAGAGTTTAGATTCGCCAACTTTGGGCTCTCCAACAGAAACATGGCTTGTAAATTCTTTCTCTAAGAATCAGGGATTGTCAGAGTATATTATTAGACTGATAAATTTAGCCATGCATTTTCCTAGTTCATAGAACAAGGACTGTGCTCCATACAGAAATTTTACTCTGTGGTTGCTAAACTTCTGTGTTTCTTCTTCTAGCCTAGTTCTCGATCTATCTTTGATGTTTGTATCCATTGGTAATTTTTCTTCTTCAAAATAGGAAGTTATATTAGCTTATGTATATTACAAGAATTCTCAGAATGAGAAAACGAATAGATATAAACCGTGTCTATAGTCGCTATAAAGTAAATAGGTAAGATATCATTTGGAGTTGGAACTTACTTCTTGGCAGATTTATTAAGCTTTTAATAGTATTAAGCCATGAATCCGCATCCCAGGTATTTTGCTCATTGTGTTCTCTTGATGCACAATCTTTGATATTTGCATCTGTAGAGTTGTAGTTGAAGGTCTATGTTTATAGTGAGCAAAATTTGAGTATCTAACATTTGAAGCACTCAGATTTCATGTAACATACTTCATAAAACGAATTCAATAAACATATTCTTTCAGGCATCATTTTCAACTAAACATCAATAACCCACATGAATCTAACCTAAATCTAGCCTCAAAAGCTAAGCCGCCCAAAGTCCCCCATCCATAGAACAAACCATCACCAGCACCAACCCCATTAACATTCCCCTTCATTCTCTCTTTCACTGCTCAGACTCCTACAATCCCATTTCCTCACCAAATCTCAAAACCTGCATCAATCCTGAAACCCAGACTTCTCTTTAACCTTGGCTTTAACAATCCTTATCAAATTTACCCTCAACAGTGAAATTTTAAATAATTATTCTAAGCGAGCTTTCGAATTTATTTAAAATAGTTCTGCAAAATAGAAAGAAATTGAGAAATTTTGAGGTTTAGGAGAACCTTTTGGAAGAACATTTTGGACCTCTAAGAGGAAGGGTGGGGAGTGAGGATTTAGAAGAGGGAAGGAAGGCTACTGAGGGTCGGAAATAGAGAGAATTAGGGACTGTAGTCATAAAAGAGGGTTAGTGGTAGCTTGAAATTTAACTTTTTGGAAACTTGAATTTTTAAAATACATTATGAGAGACTGAAATAAAAATTTATCTTGTAAAAGATCACAGAGGTCGAGAAAGTAGTTTATTGCATGAGAAAGGAGGTTGGTTAGCTGTGACTAGGTAGATGGTAGATATTGATTTGTAGCAGATATCATGCTTCGAGACTTTTAAATGCCCAACTCCAATAACTCCTCCTCTAAATCTCTCCAACCCCTCACCCACCCCTAATCCCCCAAAACTTCCCCTAAAAGAGCCCTCACTTACCCATCCTTCCTTCACCACTGTATCCGTATCCACAACAACTGATCTATAAACTTCCATTCCAGTCAAGTCAAGTCTCACCACAAATTTTTAAGTTCAACTATCTCCTCACACCTCGGGGTTTTGGGGTTTTGGGGTTTTGGGG